AGTTGAGCTTCATCCAGCGGTGGGAGCCCTTCTTCTTCCTCTCCACCAGGTAACCTGGGCAGGTGGGACACAGGTGGGACACAGGTGGGACACACGTGGCCAAGGTGAGGCCCAGGTGAGGACACACATGGCCCAGGTGAGACAGGTGAGTCCCAGATGAGACACAGGTGACACAGGTGAGACACAGGTGAGGGCACACATGGCACAGGTGGGACACATGTGGCCCAGGTGAGGCCCAGGTGAGACACAGGTGACACAGGTGAGACACAGGTGAGGGAACACATGGCCCAGGTGGGACACATGTGGCCCAGGTGAGACAGGTGAGTCCCAGGTGAGACACAGGTGACACAGGTGACACAGGTGAGACACGGGTGGCCCAGGTGAGGCCCAGGTGAGTCCCAGGTGAGACACAGGTGACACAGGTGACACAGGTGAGACACAGGTGGCCCAGGTGAGGCCCGGCTGTGCCAGGACCCCCATCCCAGCCCGCAGCGGTGGCACGGAGGGGACGCCCAGGTGCGTGCCCAGGTGCCACCTGCCAGGTGTGGCCCTCACCTGTCACCGGCTGCCCCCCGTCGAACTTGGGGGGCTCCCAGACCAGCACGGCCCAGTCCTCGCCCACCTGGGTGACGCGCACGGCCTCGGGCGGGTCAGGGACGTCTGCGGGGACAGGGCACACCTGAGTGCCCAGGTGTGCCCAGGTGTGCCCCCAGGTATCCCCAGCTGCCCCTAGGTGTGCCCAGGTGTGTCTCCAGGGGTGCCCAGGTGTCCCCAGGTTCTCCCCAGGTGCCCCCAGGTTCTCCCCAGGTGTCCCCAGGTGTGTGCCCAGGTGTGCCCACCCATGACGCGGATGTTGATGGCGGCTGTGTCCCCCCAGGTGTCCCCAGGTGTCCCCAGGCGTGTGCCCAGGTGTGCCCCAGCTGCCCCAGGTGTGCCCCCAGGTGTGCCCAGGTGCGCCAGGTGTGCCCACCCATGACATGGATGTTGATGATGGCCGTGTCCCCCCAGGTGTCCCCAGCTGCCCCAGGTGTCCCCAGCTGCCCCAGGTGTCCCCAGGTGTGCCCCCAGGTTCTCCCCAGGTGCCCCCATGTGTCCCCAGCTGCCCCAGGTGTGCCCCAGCTGCCCCAGGTGTGCCCCCAGGTGTCCCCAGCTGCCCCAGGTGTGCCCCCAGCTTCCCCAGCTGCCCCCAGGTGTGCCCCCAGGTGTCCCCAGGTGCGCCAGGTGTGCCCAGGTGTCCCCAGGTATGTGCCCAGGTGCCCCCAGGTTCTCCCCAGGTGCCCCCAGGTTCTCCCCAGGTGTGCCCAGGTGCCCCCAGGTGTGCCCAGGTGTGCCCAGGTGTCCCCAGGTGTCCCCAGCTGCCCCAGGTGTGTCCCCAGGTGTCCCCAGGTGTGCCCAGGTGTGCCCCCAGGTATCCCCGGGAGCCTCCAGGTGTGCCCAGGTGTGTGCCCAGCTGTGCCCAGGTGCTCCCAGGTGAGATCCCAGCTCTTCCCAGGTGTGCCCAGCTGCCCCCAGGTGTGCCCAGGTGCCCCCAGGTGTGTGCCCAGGTGTCCCCAGGTTCTCCCCAGGTGCCCCCAGCTTCCCCAGCTGCCCCCAGGTGTCCCCAGGTGTGCCCAGGTTCTCCCCAGGTGCCCCCAGGTGCACCAGCTGCGCCCAGGTGTCCCCAGGTGTTCCCAGGTGTGCCCCCAGCTGCCCCAGGTGTCCCCAGGTGCCCCCATGTGTCCCCAGGTGTGCCCCCAGGTGTGCCAGGTGTGCCCACCCACAACGCGGATGTTGATGGCGGCCGTGTCCCCCCAGGTGTCCCCAGCTGCCCCAGGTGTGCCCCCAGGTTCTCCCCAGGTGTGCCCAGGTGTCCCCAGGTGTGCTCCCAGGTTTTCCCCAGGTGCCCCCCATGTGTCCCCAGGTGCCCCCAGCTGCCCCAGGTGTGTCCCCAGGTGTCCCCAGGTGTCCCCAGGTGTGCCCACCCACGACGCGGATGTTGGTGGTGGCCGTGTCACCTCAGGTTCTCCCCAGGTGTCCCCAGGTGTGTGCCCAGGTGTGCCCCAGCTGCCCCAGGTGTGCCCCCAGGTTCTCCCCAGGTGCCCCCATGTGTCCCCAGCTGCCCCAGGTGTGCCCCAGCTGCCCCAGGTGTGTCCCCAGGTGTGCCCAGGTGTGTGCCCAGGTGTGCCCCAGCTGCCCCAGGTGTGCCCCCAGGTGTCCCCAGCTGCCCCAGGTGTGTCCCCAGGTGTGCCCAGGTGTCCCCAGCTGCCCCAGGTGTGTCCCCAGGTGTGTCCCCAGGTGTGCCCAGGTGCGCCAGGTGTGCCCACCCACGACGCGGATGTTGATGGTGGCCGTGTCCTCTCCGGCCGGGTTGGTGACCCGGATCTGGTATCGTCCCTCGTCGGCGCGCTCGGCGCTCTCGATGACGAAACTGCTCAGCTCGTGCTTGGACTCGAGCCGGACGCGGCCCTCGGTGGCCGAGAACTCCTGCACAGGTGAGATACAGGTGAGATGGACAGGTGAGATGGACAGGTGAGACAGGTGGGACAGGTGGGACAGGTGGGACAGGTGACACAGGTGAGGGGACACCAGAACTGCTCAGCTCGTGCTTGGACTCGAGCCGGACGCGGCCCTCGGTGGCCGAGAACTCCTGCAGGTGAGATGGACAGGTGAGATACAGGTGAGATGGGACAGGTGACACAGGTGAGACAGGTGAGGGGACACCAGGAGCTGCTCAGCTCATGCTTGGACTCGAGCCGGACACGGCCCTCGGTGGCCGAGAACTCCTGCAGGTGAGATACAGGTGAGATGGACAGGTGAGACAGGTGAGACAGGTGGGACAGGTGAGGGGACACCAGAGCTGCTCAGCTCGTGCTTGGACTCGAGCCGGACACGGCCCTCGGTGGCCGAGAACTCCTGCACAGGTGAGATACAGGTGAGATGGACAGGTGAGATGGACAGGTGAGACAGGTGAGACAGGTGGGACAGGTGGGACAGGTGGGACAGGTGAGACAGGTGAGACAGGTGAGAGGACACCAGAGCTGCTCAGCTCGTGCTTGGACTCGAGCCGGACGCGGCCCTCGGTGGCCGAGAACTCCTGCAGGTGAGATACAGGTGAGATGGACAGGTGAGACAGGTGAGACAGGTGGGACAGGTGAGACAGGTGACACAGGTGAGACAGGTGACACAGGTGAGACAGGTGGGACAGGTGAGACAGGTGACACAGGTGAGACAGGTGGGACAGGTGGGACAGGTGACACAGGTGGGACAGGTGGGACAGGTGAGGGGACACCAGGAGCTGCTCAGCTCGTGCTTGGACTCGAGCCGGACGCGGCTCTCGGTGGCCGAGAACTCCTGCAGGTGACACAGGTGACACAGGTGACACAGAGGTGACACAGAGGTGACACTCAGGTGACACAGGTGACACTCAGGTGACACAGGTGACACTGAGGTCTCACCTGTCCGTCCCTGCTCCAGGTGACGCTGGGCGGGGGCTCTCCGGAGATGGGCACAGGTGACACAGGTGATGCACAGGTGACACACAGGTGACACACAGGTGACACAGGTGATGCACAGGTGACACACAGGTGACACAGGCGTGACACACAGGTGACACAGGTGACACAGGTGTGACACAGGTGACACACAGGTGACACACAGGTGACACAGGTGACACAGATGACACACAGGTGACACACAGATGGCACAGGTGACACAGGTGACACAGGTGACACTCAGGTGACACAGGTGTGACACAGAGGTGACACAGGTGACACAGGTGTGACACTCAGGTGCCACAGGGGTCTCACCTGTCCGTCCCTGCTCCAGGTGACGCTGGGCGGGGGCTCTCCGGAGATGGGCACAGGTGACACAGGTGTGACACAGGTGACACACAGGTGACACAGGTGACACAGGTGACACACAGATGACACAGGTGTGACACACAGGTGACACAGGTGTGACACAGGTGTGACACAGGTGACACAGATGACACAGGTGACACAGGTGACACAGGTGTGACACAGGTGACACAGGTGATGCACAGATGACACAGGTGACACACAGGTGACACAGGTGACACAGGTGACACACAGGTGACACACAGGTGACACAGGTGACACAGGGGTCTCACCTGTCCGTCCCTGCTCCAGGTGACGCTGGGTGGTGGCTCTCCGGAGATGGGCACAGGTGACACAGGTGTGACACACAGGTGTGACACAGAGGTGACACAGGTGACACACAGGTGACACACAGGTGACACAGGTGACACAGGTGACACTGAGGTCTCACCTGTCCATCCCTGCTCCAGGTGACACTGGGCGGTGGCTCTCCGGAGATGGGCACAGGTGACACAGGTGACACAGGTGACACAGGTGACACAGGTGACACAGGTGACACACAGGTGACACAGGTGTGACACAGGTGACACAGGTGACACAGGTGACACACAGGTGACACAGGTGACACAGGTGTGCCACAGGGGTCTCACCTGTCCGTCCCTGCTCCAGGTGACGCTGGGTGGTGGCTCTCCGGAGATGGGCACAGGTGACACAGGTGTGACACAGGTGACACACAGGTGACACTGAGGTCTCACCTGTCCGTCCCTGCTCCAGGTGACGCTGGGTGGTGGCTCTCCGGAGATGGGCACAGGTGACACAGGTGACACAGGTGTGACACAGGTGACACAGGTGACACAGAGGTGACACAGGTGTGACACAGGTGACACACAGATGACACACAGGTGACACAGGTGACACACAGGTGACACACAGGTGACACAGGTGACACACAGGTGACACAGGTGACACAGGTGGCACAGGTGACACACAGGTGACACAGGTGACACAGGTGACACAGGTGACACACAGGTGACACAGGTGACACAGGTGTGACACTGAGGTCTCACCTGTCCGTCCCTGCTCCAGGTGACGCTGGGTGGTGGCTCTCCGGAGATGGGCACAGGTGACACAGGTGACACAGGTGACACAGAGGTGACACACAGAGGTCTCACCTGTCCGTCCCTGCTCCAGGTGACGCTGGGTGGTGGCTCTCCGGAGATGGGCACAGGTGACACAGGTGACACAGGTGACACAGGTGACACCCAGGAGGTCTCACCTGTCCGTCCCTGCTCCAGGTGACACTGGGTGGTGGCTCTCCCGAGATGGGCACAGGTGACACAGGTGACACAGGGGTGACACAGGTGACACAGGTGAGTCCCAGGAGGTCTCACCTGTCCGTCCCTGCTCCAGGTGACGCTGGGTGGTGGCTCTCCCGAGATGGGCACAGGTGACACAGGTGACACAGGTGTGACACACAGATGACACAGGTGACACACAGGTGACACAGGTGACACAGATGACACAGAGGTGACACAGGTGACACAGGTGACACAGATGACACACAGGTGACACAGGTGACACAGGTGACACAGGTGACACACAGGTGACACACAGGTGTGACACTGAGGTCTCACCTGTCCGTCCCTGCTCCAGGTGACGCTGGGTGGTGGCTCTCCGGAGATGGGCACGTCCAGCCGCACTTTGTTGCCCGCCACCACCACCAGGCTGTTCTCCGCGTCCCGGCCCGAGCAGTCCAGGTGGATCTTGGGCGGCTCTGCAGGTGGGCACAGGTGGGCACAGGTGGGCACAGGTGGGCACAGGTGGGCCCAGGTGTGCTCTGTCCCGCCAGGTGTTTCTTCTCCCCACCAGGTGTGCTCTGTCCCCTCAGGTGTGCCCACATGTCCTCCCAGGTGCCCCCAGGTGTGCCCAGGTGTCTTCCCTGGCGTCCCCCTCAGGTGTCCCCAGGTGTGCCCAGCTGTGCCCAGGTGTCCCCCCAGGTGTGCTCTGTGCCCTCAGTGTGCTCAGGTGTGCCAGGTGTCCCCCCAAGTGTGCCCGGGTGTCCCCAGGTGTGCCCCCCCAGGTGTCCCAGGTGTGTCCAGGTGCCCCCAGGTGTCCCCAGGTGTCCCCTCAGGTGTCCCCAGGTGTCCCCAGGTGTGTCCCCAGGTATCCCCAGGTGTGCCCAGGTGTCCCCAGGTGTCCCAGGTGTGCCCAGGTGCCCGCTGCCCTCACCTTGCTTGGGCACGTACTCCACCTTGATCTCTGTTGGGGAGAGGGGGGTCAGTGACGTCACAGGCCCCGCCCAGCGGCCGTGACGTCATCGATGACATCACCGGGAGGCGATGACGTCACTGCCCCCATTGCCCCCCAAATTTCCCCCAAACCCCCAAATTTTTCCCAAATTCCCCAAATCCCCCCAAAACTCCATAAATTTCCCCCAAATTTCCTCTAAAGGCCCCCAAAATTTCCCCCAAATTGCTCCCGAATCCCCCAGATTTTCCCCAAATTTCCCCCAATTCCCCCAATTTTTCCCCCAATTCCCCCATTTTTCCCCAATTTTTCCCCAGTTTTTTCTGCAAATTTCCCCCAATTCCCCCCATTTTTTCCCAAATCCCCCCAAATCCCCCCAATTTTCCCCCAATTTTTTCCCAATTTCCCCAAATTTCCCCCAATTCCCCCAATTTTTCCCCAATTCCCCCAATTTTTCCCCAATTTTTCCCCAATTTTTCCCCAATCCCCCCAAATCCCCCCAAAACCCCAATTTTTTCCCAAATTTCCCCCAATTCCCCCCATTTTTTCCCCAATTTTTTCCCCAAATTTTCCCCAATTTTTTCTCAATATTTTCCCCCAATTGCCCCCAATTCCCCCAATTTTTTCCCTTTTTTTTCCCCAAATTTTCCCCCAATTCCCCCAATTTTTCCCCAATTTTTTCCCCAAATTTTCCCCCAAATTCTCCCCAATTTTTTCCCAAATTTCCCCCAATTCCCCTCATTTTTTCCCAATTTTTCCCCAAATTTCCCCCCAATTTCCCCAATTTTTCCCCAAATTTCCCAAAACCCCCCAGATTTGCCCCAGATTTGCCCGTGCCCACCGAGGAAGTTGAGCTTGGCCGAGAGCGTGAGGGCGAAGCCGTCGGGGACGAAGGTGTAATCGCCCTCGTCCTCGGGCCGCACGTCGTCGATCACCAGCTTGTGGATCCTGCGGGGCCAAAAAATCCCAAAAATCCCCAAAATCCCCAGAGCCAAAAAAAATCCCCAGCCAAAAATCACTAAAATTGCAAAAATTCCCGCTCGAAAATCACCAAAATTGCAAAAATTCCCGCTCAAAAATCACCAAAATTGCAAAAATTCCCGCTCGAAAATCACCAAAATTGCAAAAATTCCCGCTCGAAAATCACCAAAATCGCAAAAATTCCCGCTCAAAAATCCCAAAAATCCCCAAAATCCCCACAGCCAAAAAAATCCCCAGCCGAAAATCACCAAAATTGCAAAAATTCCTGCTCGAAAATCACCAAAATTGCAAAAATTCCCGCTCAAAAATCCCAACAATTCCCGCTCAAAAATCCCAAAAATCCCCAAAATCCCCACAGCCAAAAAAATCCCCAGCCGAAAATCACCAAAATTGCAAAAATTCCCGCTCGAAAATCACCAAAATTGCAAAAATTCCCGCTCAAAAATCACCAAAATTGCAAAAATTCCCGCTCAAAAATCACCAAAATTCCCGCCCGAAAATCCCCAAATCCAAAAAAATTCCAACTCAAAAATCACAAAAGCCAAAGAAATTCCCGCCCGAAAATCACCAAAAACAAAAAAATTCCCGCCCGAAAATCCCAAAATCCAAAAAAATTCCCAGCCAAAAATCACAAAACCAAAAAAATTTCTGGTCGAAAATCACCAAAATCCAAAAAAATTCCCGCCCGAAAATCACCAATATTCAAAAATTCCCGCTCAAAAAATCACCAAAATTGCAAAAATTCCCGCTCAAAAATCCCAAAAATCCCCAAAATCCCCACAGCCAAAAAAATCCCCAGCCGAAAATCGCAAAATTGCAAAAATTCCCGCTCGAAAATCACCAAAATTGCAAAAATTCCCAAAAATCCCAAAAATCCCCAAAATCCCCACAGCCAAAAAAATCCCCAGCCGAAAATCCCAACAATTCCCGCCCGAAAATCCCAAAATCCAAAAAAATTCCAACTCAAAAATCACAAAACCAAAAAAATTTCTGGTCGAAAATCCCAAAAACAAAAAAATTCCCGCCCGAAAATCCCAAAATCCAAAAAAATTCCCGCCCGAAAATCCCAAAATCCAAAAAAATTCCCAGCCAAAAAATCACAAAACCAAAAAAATTCCCGCCCGAAAATCACCAAAATTGCAAAAAGTCCCAGCCGAAAATCAGAAAATCAAAAAAAATTCCAACTCAAAAATCACAAAATCCCAAAAATCCCAAAATCCGAAAACATTCCAACTCAAAAATCCCAAAAACAAAAAAATTCCAACTCAAAAATCCCAAAAACAAAAAAATTCCAGCTCAAAAATTGAAAATTGCAAAAAGCCCCAGCCGAAAATCCCAAAATCCAAAAAAAATTCCCGCCCGAAAATCCCAAAATCCAAAAAAATCCCAAAAATCCCAAAATCCCAAAAATTCCTACCCAAAAATCCCAAAAATTCCTTCACAAAAATCCCCAAAATTCCCAGCCAAAATTGGTGAAATCCCAAAAAATTCCCACTCAAAAATCCCAAAAATCCCAAAAATCCCAAAAATCCCAAAATCCAAAAAAATTCCGTTCAAAATTCCCAAAAATTCCATTCGGGTTTTTTTTTTTTTTGGGGGGGGGATTTTGGGGATTTTTTGGGGAATTTTGGGGAGTTTTTCAGGAATTTTGGGATTTTTTGGGGAATTCTTGAGATTTCTGGGGAATTTTGGGGACTTTTGGGGAATTTTTGGGATTTTTTTTTGGGAATTTTGGGGATTTTTGGGGGGAAATTTTGGGATTTTTGGGATATTTTGGGACATTTTGGGGATATTTTGGGGATATTTTGCCAGTTTTTTAATTTTATTTTTTGGGATATTTTGGGGGGGATTTTTTTGGGTAATTTTGGGATATTTTTGGGACATTTTGGGATATTTTTGGGATTTTTTTTGGGATATTTTTGGGATATTTTGGGGATATTTTTGGGGGGATTTTTTTTGATATTTTGGGACATTTTGGGATATTTTTGGGATTTTTTTTGGGATATTTTTGGGATTTTTTGGGGATATTTTTGGGATATTTTTGGGATATTTTTGGGATATTTTTGGGATTTTTTTTGGGATATTTTGGGGATATTTTGGGGATATTTTTTGGGGGATTTTTTTTTATATTTTGGGACATTTTGGGATATTTTTGGGATTTTTTTTGGGATATTTTTGGGATATTTTGGGGATATTTTGGGGATATTTTTTTGGGGATTTTTTTTTGATATTTTGGGACATTTTGGGATATTTTTGGGATATTTTTGGGATTTTTTTTGGGATATTTTGGGGATATTTTGGGGATATTTTTTTGGGGATTTTTTTTTGATATTTTGGGACATTTTGGGATATTTTTGG